TTGTAACTGCTAAACAGCATATAAAGCAAGCTGCTTGACGGCTGCAATAGGTAGACTACCCACAAATTCCATTTTTTTAAAATTCTGAGTCTAAATCTGATATATTGTAACTACTAAACAGCATATAAAGCAAGCTGCTTGACAGCTGCAATAGGTAGACTACCCACAAATTCCATCTGATATATTTTTTTAAAGCAATTCAATAAGACTACCCACAAATTCCTAAATCTGATATATTGTAACTGCTAAACAGCATATAAAGCAAACGGCTGCTCACACAGCCGATTTTTTTCAAATTCCACGTCTAAATCTGATATATTGTAACTGCTAAACAGCATATAGCTGTACGGCTGACTACTACCCACAAATCCCATTTTTTTAAATTCTAAGTCTAAATCTGATATATTGTAACTGCTAAACAGCATATAAAGCAAGCTGCTTGACGGCTGCAATAAATAGACTACTCACACAGCCGATTTTTTTCAAATTCCACGTCTAAATCTGATATATTGTAACTGCTAAACAGCATATAAAGCAAGCTGCTTGACGGCTGCAATAGGTAGACTATCCACAAATCCCATTTCTTTTTAATTCCAAGTCTAAATCTGATATATTGTAACTGCTAAACAGCATATAAAGCAAGCCGCTTTACGGCTGCAATAGGTAGACTACCCACAAATTCCATTTTTTTAAAATTCTGAGTCTAAATCTGATATATTGTAACTGCTAAACAGCATATAAAGCAAGCTGCTTGACGGCTGCAATAGGTAGACTACCCACAAATCCCATTTTTTTTTAAATTCTAAGTCTAAATCTGATATATTGTAACTGCTAAACAGCATTTAAAGCAAGCCGCTTGACGGCTGCAATAGGTAGACTATCCACAAATCCCATTTTTTTTTAATTCCAAGTCTAAATCTGATATATTGTAACTGCTAAACAGCATATAAAGCAAGCCGCTTTACGGCTGCAATAAATAGACTACTCACACATCCGATTTTTTTCAAATTCCACGTCTAAATCTGATATATTGTAACTGCTAAACAGCATATAAAGCAAGCTGCTTGACGGCTGCAATAGGTAGACTACCCACAAATTCCATTTTTTTTTAAAATTCTGAGTCTAAATCTGATATATTGTAACTACTAAACAGCATATAAAGCAAGCTGCTTGACAGCTGCAATAGGTAGACTACCCACAAATTCCATTTTTTTTAAAATTCTGAGTCTAAATCTGATATATTGTAACTACTAAACAGCATATAAAGCAAGCTGCTTGACGGCTGCAATAGGTAGACTACCCACAAATTCTATTTTTTTTTTTTTAATTCTAGGTCTAAATCTGATATATTGTAACTGCTAAACAGCATATTAAGCAAGCTGCTTGACAGCTGCAATAGGTAGACTATCCACAAATCCCATTTTTTTTTAATTCCAAGTCTAAATCTGATATATTGTAACTGCTAAACAGCATATAAAGCAAGCCGCTTTACGGCTGTAATAGGTAGACTATCCACAAACCCCATTTTTTTAAAATTCTAAGTCTTAATCTGATATATTGTGACTGCTAAACAGCATATAAAGCAAGCTGCTTGACGGCTGCAATAGGTAGACTACCCACAAATCCCATTTTTTTAAATTCTAAGTCTAAATCTGATATATTGTAACTGCTAAACAGCATATAAAGCAAGCTGCTTGACAGCTGCAATAGGTAGACTACCCACAAATTCCATTTTTTTTTAATTCTAAGTCTAAATCTGATATATTGTAACTGCTAAACAGCATATAAAGCAAGCTGCTTGACGGCTGCAATAGGTAGACTACCCACAAATTCCATTTTTTTTTAATTCTAAGTCTAAATCTGATATATTGTAACTGCTAAACAGCATATAAAGCAAGCTGCTTGACGGCTGCAATAGGTAGACTACCCACAAATTCCATTTTTTTTTTAATTCTAGGTCTAAATCTGATATATTGTAACTGCTAAACAGCATATAAAGCAAGCTGCTTGACAGCTGCAATAGGTAGACTACCCACAAATTCCATTTTTTTTTTTAATTCTGAGTCTAAATCTGATATATTGTAACTGCTAAACAGCATATAAAGCAAGCTGCTTGACGGCTGCAATAGGTAGACTACCCACAAATTCCATTTTTTTAAAATTCTGAGTCTAAATCTGATATATTGTAACTACTAAACAGCATATAAAGCAAGCTGCTTGACGGCTGCAATAGGTAGACTACCCACAAATCCCATTTTTTTTTTAAATTCTAAGTCTAAATCTGATATATTGTAACTGCTAAACAGCATATAAAGCAAGCTGCTTGACGGCTGCAATAAATAGACTACTCACACAGCCGATTTTTTTCAAATTCCACGTCTAAATCTGATATATTGTAACTGCTAAACAGCATATAAAGCAAGCTGCTTGACGGCTGCAATAAATAGACTACTCACACAGCCGATTTTTTTCAAATTCCACGTCTAAATCTGATATATTGTAACTGCTAAACAGCATATAAAGCAAGCTGCTTGACGGCTGCAATAGGTAGACTACCCACAAATTCCATTTTTTTAAAATTCTGAGTCTAAATCTGATATATTGTAACTACTAAACAGCATATAAAGCAAGCTGCTTGACAGCTGCAATAGGTAGACTACCCACAAATTCCATTTTTTTAAAATTCTGAGTCTAAATCTGATATATTGTAACTACTAAACAGCATATAAAGCAAGCTGCTTGACGGCTGCAATAGGTAGACTACCCACAAATTCCATTTTTTTTTAATTCTAAGTCTAAATCTGATATATTGTAACTGCTAAACAGCATATAAAGCAAGCTGCTTGACGGCTGCAATAGGTAGACTACCCACAAATTCCATTTTTTTTTTAATTCTAAGTCTTAATCTGATATATTGTAACTGCTAAACAGCATATAAAGCAAGCTGCTTGACAGCTGCAATAGGTAGACTATCCACAAATCCCATTTTTTTTTAATTCCAAGTCTAAATCTGATATATTGTAACTGCTAAACGGCATTTAAAGCAAGCCGCTTGACGGCTGCAATAGGTAGACTATCCACAAATCCCATTTCTTTTTAATTCCAAGTCTAAATCTGATATATTGTAACTACTAAACAGCATATAAAGCAAGCTGCTTGACAGCTGCAATAGGTAGACTACCCACAAATTCCATTTTTTTAAAATTCTGAGTCTAAATCTGATATATTGTAACTACTAAACAGCATATAAAGCAAGCTGCTTGACGGCTGCAATAGGTAGACTACCCACAAATTCCATTTTTTTTTAATTCTAGGTCTAAATCTGATATATTGTAACTGCTAAACAGCATATAAAGCAAGCTGCTTGACGGCTGCAATAGGTAGACTACCCACAAATTCCATTTTTTTTTTAAAATTCTGAGTCTAAATCTGATATATTGTAACTACTAAACAGCATATAAAGCAAGCTGCTTGACAGCTGCAATAGGTAGACTACCCACAAATTCCATTTTTTTAAAATTCTGAGTCTAAATCTGATATATTGTAACTACTAAACAGCATATAAAGCAAGCTGCTTGACGGCTGCAATAGGTAGACTACCCACAAATTCCATTTTTTTTTAATTCTAAGTCTAAATCTGATATATTGTAACTGCTAAACAGCATATAAAGCAAGCTGCTTGACGGCTGCAATAGGTAGACTACCCACAAATTCCATTTTTTTTTTAATTCTAAGTCTAAATCTGATATATTGTAACTGCTAAACAGCATATAAAGCAAGCTGCTTGACAGCTGCAATAGGTAGACTACCCACAAATCCCATTTTTTTTTTAATTCTAAGTCTAAATCTGATATATTGTAACTGCTAAACAGCATATAAAGCAAGCTGCTTGACGGCTGCAATAGGTAGACTACCCACAAATCCCATTTTTTTTTAATTCTAAGTCTAAATCTGATATATTGTAACTGCTAAACAGCATATAACGCAAGCTGCTTGACAGCTGCAATAGGTAGATTAGACACAGCCGACTTTTCAAATTTTAACGCAATGCCGTACTTAGTATTTTTGATCAAATTAAAACATGCAACCATTTAGTGTAACACGCGGCTGAATTTATAAGAAACTGGGCCAAGGTTATAGCAATAATTATAAATATGTAACTTACGACTCACAATTTGGTTGCCTTATTTAATACCTTTCTTTTTTATAGAACATAAATAATGATAACAATTTAAACTGAACATAATATTGCTTAATATGTTTTCTTGAATCTAGCATATTTAGTTAAATCATTACGGATTCTTTTATATTGAAATTGCTTAAATAAAATACAAAGACGTGCAAGTAAGACTATTATGTACTGTGAGAGTACTATGTCATGGCTTATGAAATAATAATATGTTTTGGTTATTAATTATGTCAGTCCAAAATAGTCCAAATGTAATTATAAAATTGGACCGACGCGACGAAAAAAATTTAAAGTACTGTAGCTCTTAAAACTCCTTATTTTACAAGGGTATAAGATAAGGATAGAATAGTGATAATTTAAATATAAGAAAAAAATGTCAAATAAAAAAAATCCGTTAAAAAATAAATAGTTAATGTCTTATTCTCAGATCGGATCAGATAATTAACACACAAAATTCCATTAGAAACGGTCAAATAATTTCAGTTTTGTTATAAATGCTGTAATTTTATATCTATCCTAATATTATACAGCTGACGAGTTTGTTTGTTTGAACACGCTAATCTCAGGAACTATTTCGAATTGAAAAATTATTTCTGTGTTGGATAGTCGTCGAGAAAGGCTTTAAGCTATAGAACATTACGCTACGACCAATAGAAGCGAAGCATCAGTGAAAAATGTTGCAAAAACGGGGGAAATTATTGATATCCGAGGGCTTCCGTTGAGTGCGCCACAGCTAGTATTAGATATAGCAATTTTTATATATTAGATATAACCAGATATATAAATATATATGTATGTTGATTTGCTACAGGGCTGCTACATGACGATCCACATAACGCCGGAGCCGACATGCTCGTACGTGTCGTTCGAGTCGAACGTGCCGCTGTCGAGCTACGACGAGGTGATCGCGCGCGTGCTGCAAGCGTTCCGCCCGGCCAAGTTCGTGCTCACCGTCTTCGCTACGCCGGTATGTAAATTCAGAAAATGTATATTTAATATCTTGAAAAGTCCGCCCCCTGATTGTAAACTGTAATTTTACGGCATGTCTTGTAAAAAACGGAGATTCCTACAAAACTTAACTTTTATTGTTGTAATTTAGATTATTACTGTTAGTATTATTAATAATAGTGTTATTTCGGTGACGAATGTGTAAATTGTACTATTTATTGTACATTGGTAAGTTTATTCTATACTGCGCTATATGACTTACAAGTAACGCGTTTATACGACGCGGAGTCGGGACGTAAACTGATATTTTACATTTAACATAATAAAGACGTAAACTAACGGAAGGGACTCAGGTGTTGACAGAAATATTACATAATCCCATATTGAAAAAAAAAGTACACAATAAAACGATAGATTTCTATTTCTTTGTCGCAGTCCGTTAATAACCGTATTTTATTAGTAGCTAACCATAAATTTGGTTAAATAACGGTAGCTAACGGGTTTTCTTCAACGACATGCAGGACTCGCCGGCGGCGGAGGCCCCGCGGCGGCTGACCAAGTTCTCGTCGCTGGGCTCGTTCGAGCAGAAGGAGGCGCAGTACTGCCGCTTCTCCGGGTACGAGCTGCACTACGCCCTCTACTGCAAGTTCCCGAGCTGAGTGGCGGCCCCCCCGCGGCCGCCGGCGGCCCCGCGCCCGCGCCGCCCGCCGCGCCCCCGCCGCCCGCTGCGCCCGCCGCGCCCCCGCCGCCTGCTCGCCGACGTGCTGGCGCCGCCGCCGCGCGCCCCCCCGCCGCCCCCGCTGCCCCTGGCGCCGCCGCTGCCCCCGCTGCCCCTGCTGCCCCTGCTGCGGCGCGCGGCGCGGGCCCTGCGCGCGGCCTGCCCCTGCGAGGCGCGCCTGGCCGCCGCGTGAGCCCCCCGGCCCCCGGCCCCCGGCCCCCGCTCACCGTCTCCGCGCCGGGCGGCGTCGCTTTCGATACATATTCGAAGACCCTTCGACACATGTCGGCGCGATCGAGCGCGTCGTGCTTTCAAAGATACGGTGCGGCGGAGATCGGTCCGATTTTGGACGAGTACCGCGAACGGCTACCTCGTAGGCACTCGCGTATTTGAAGGTACGTCTAGCGCCGGCTTTAGATCGGTAGACGAGATTAGGACGCTACGTCCTCGGTCCCGTTCTCTGCGGACGGTGTATGTACAAAAACTACTCATAAATGTAAATAATACGAATTAGAGCAGGGTGCCGTAACATGTGATGTAATTGTTCCATTCCATTAAGCGTGATCCTTAAGTGATATTATAGTTATATTAGATGATAGAGCGTCGAGGTGTGCGCTACGCCGCGGGCTGCGATACGAACGGGCGCGGTCCGTACACGAAATTATATCATATTTAAAATTATATAAGCGATGATTATATTTGTAACGTCGAATCGTTGCGGGTAGATCTTAGACACGTAGCTGTTGTCGTGTAACATCTAGGCAGAGGTGAGGCGACGCAGGCGCGAGCAGGCGGAGGATGGGTGGCCGCGCCTGCCCGGACCGGGGCGTCCTCAGAGATTTAAAATCAAATAAAGATTTCGTCTCAATACCACTTGTTTCATTTCAAACCTATACTTTGTTAACTGATTTATTTGCTGTCAAATACAACCGATAGATGTCATGCCATTCGTATGAAACAACAAAGACAAGTCCTCAAATTCTATGCTTTGTTCTTAAATATATATATATATATATATATATATATATATACTTAATAGTTACGTATTGTATTTGTTACATTTTCATGCTTCAAACTTAATAGAAATAGAAATACTCTTTATTCAAATAATCTCATTACAAGCACTTTTGAATAGTCATATATTGATTCTACCACTCACTCGGAATGCAGATTCAGAATGAGCAAGAAACTTGTGTGTTGCTCTTTTTAATAGATGTTTTTTTTATATAAATAATTACTGTAATTATATCAAGTAAGAGGCATGCGATAATTAACATAGAAATCGCTACATACTCATTATTAATGTAATCAGATAATATTGTCAGTGCTATGGATTTAAAGTTTTTCTATAAAAACTTTATTATCGTTAACGAATTCTTCAAATAATCTACACGAAACTTAGTATTATCAACAGCGGTTGACCTAACACAGTGACCCTTTCGTTCAGCACACAGAAAGTACTGATCTCATGCTATGATAATGATATGACTATGCTGTTCATGCTTCAAATGCATTTGTGGCGAATATACGAAAAGCGCGAGGCGACACAGTTACCTATTATCAACAAGCAGTAATGTGGACTATAACCCCATTGCTAGCAAAATGTCAGGTTACCTTCACCTGGTTCCCCTATAATTCAATGTAATAAATTCATGGTGAATTTACCACTATGGGCTAACTGACTTGACCTCATGTTCATGATATCATTTTCCACTGGTGTCCCGCCAGCGTAAACCGCTAGCGCATCGGGTGCACCATTTAATTATTATCAAAGCAAATCAAAAACCAATTATTCATGTAGAACATTTTAGCATCTTATGAACGTATATTTTTTTGTATTTAGATTTTTTCCCTACCGTCTAGTATATCAACAAGCTTGTCATAGCAGACAGAATCCCTTCTTTTCTCATATATCTAATTTTCTATTTATTGTTTATTCATTCAACCATTGCAAATAACTGAAGAATACACATTTATAAATAGGCATGACTAGTCATCCTTTCACATCCCTCTGCCTGATGAAGCTACAAGTGAAAAAGAACATTACGGATATTAATGGCTATCCCAGCCGTTAAACATTTAATCAATCTCCTTGGTGGAAAGTTGTAGTTACAACGAAGAATACTTACAGTATATATACAAGCTGAATACTGTTATCACTGTATATGTGTAAAGTTTGACTCGCTCTTAGCATAGTAGTTTCATATAGGGAGATGTTTTTAGGTTAGTTTGTTACAAAATATTAAATCTTTCCTCACACTATATATACAAGCTAAATCCTGTGCCACTGGCCACGGGTAAGTCTGGCTGGCTGTTAATATAGTTTTCTATAGGTAAAAGGTACTGAAGTAGCTAGACTAAAAGTAGGGATAGTAATAAAAATTGACACGTTAAATAAATTATTTTAAAATTTGAATATACGATTTATTAGTCGAGGTTAAAAAATAAAATTACCTACATATTTATAAAAATAATATATTTTCAGCGTGTGAGCAGTTACACTGCCTGATCCTTCACCATAACAATAAACATACACATTATTAAACAAGATAAATCAGTCTTACGTATAATATTGAAGAAATATGGTGTAATCGTTTATAGCTCGTTACAATAAAGTTAATAAAACCCTAAACATTTACACAGTGACATCTAGTCCCAACCTAAGCTGTTATGGGTACTAATCAAATGATAGAAATACTTCTTGTAAATAAGTATATAATATACATAGAAAACACCCAGGCCTATACTAACAATCATACTCGAAATACAAATGTTTGTATCATGCTAGGAATCGAACCCGCGACTGTCTGAAGTAAGGCAGTGTGCTAAACCGCTAGACCACGGGCGCTGCCATATATTTTCATTGCAAAGGTAGATTTTGGACAGATATAATTGTCAATTTCTTGAATATTATATGTAAATGACTTCATTTTTTAAGTATAAATCAGTCTCAATTAGTTTTATTGCTAATTTTATACATATATATTGAGAATATATAAATTGCAAGTTATAACTGATCATAATGCACTTAGAAAAATATTTAAAGAAAATAATAGAGAAATATTTAAGTACTTCTCGTATTTTAGAGTATTATTTCTATAAATTATATGACTAAAGCTATAAATTTACCCATACAAATATAACATATTAAAATCTATGTTAAAATACTATCCTCTATTCCCTTGACTATATAATATTAATTTACACAATAATAATATATCTTATATAAATTTTATATCATTAGTCAACACTGATATGCCACTTTAACGAAAACCCAATGAAAATATATAAAACTACATATATCCGCGGTTTATCCCGCAAGAAATTTATAGCTTGTGTTATTCCAATGTATAAGCTATATTACTGTAAAGTTTCATCAAAATCCGTTCAGTAGTTTTTGCGTGAAAGAGTAACAAACATCCACCATTCATACTCTCGCGTTTATAATATTAGAAACATTATATAACAGCTATGTAAGATTTAGTATATTAATACTGAAACATTTAAAAATTTTGTATATAAAATATTTCAGTTTTATAATAATAACATTCTGACGCGGCAAAGGTTGTTTTGCCATATAAATCAATAACACTATTAAAATATAGGGGTAGTTGGAGAGTAATCTTTTGAGTTGTATGTATTTAATAATGCTGAAATAATTAAAATATTTACCCAAAAAATAAACTTATCCACACTTATCTGTTAGGGATATTAAAAATAGTATATCCTATTAAATACATAACATTTCATAAGTATCGGCCGACCCGTTTCAAGAGTTTTGTTACAAACATTGTGACACGAGAATTTTATATATAACATTATAGAGCACTACAAATTTGCCTTAATTTTCTTAGATGTTTCTTGACATTAGTTCAGTATCTTGCACGGCGGTACAAATCCGCCGAACTCTTTCTCCAGCAGCTGTGCGACAGAGAGGCATAGAGCTTCCTGTCTCGGTCCCGCCACTACTTGTATACCGATGGGGAGACCATCACTGTTTAATCCAAGGGGTACCTAAAATATGTTAATATGGATGTTAGTATATAAGGTATTTATAATATGGGCCAGATTTCCCCTTTCCCGAAAAGGGATTGTTAGTAATGTGGACTGATTATCTCATTACTAGGAATGTACTATGTCAGGTTGACCTCAATGTTTCCCTGGAATCATGATAGATTCCTGATGCATTTGCCACGATGGCCTAATTGATTTGACATCATGCTCATCCTATCATCCTCCACTGGCGCTCCAGCGTAAACCGTCAGCGCAGACGGGAAAATAATTCCATTACGATCCATTAAAAAAATATGAGCAGCAGTAGCGAATTAAATAAATAAAAAATCGAGGTAGACTTTCTAATCGTCTGCATGGGTATCTCATTTACCCCATTGCTTGCAATTTTTGCAAAAAGGTTTCTCCTGGAAACCATAATGTAATAAATTTCTGTTGAATTTGTCAAGAAGGGCTAATTGACCTGACATCATGCTCATCTACCATCTCCTACTGGAGCCCCGTTAGCGCAGGTGAATGCACCATTTCATTATCATCAGGAACCTGTATTCATTATTGTTGTCAATATTGACTGGAAAGATTTAGTTTTTTTCTGTTCAATGCTTACAATTTTTATAATAATTATCAGGGATGTTATGGATATGGAATTACGGATATAGGAATGGTTATTATACCGGATACGGATACGGATATGACATTATTTCGGATTATCCGTTAGTTTCGGATAATTTCGGTTACGGATATTATTTTTTTAAGGAATTTCAAAAACATAATACAAATAGCTAATAAAATGGTTGCATAACGTGTCTCAATTAGGCTCCGCCCCTATCCTATGTTATGGATATCGATATAATGATAGTTATTATACCTGAGCGGCTGGTAGTCGCAGTACGTTGAAGATGCCCCAGTACGCGAAGTTGAACGGGCGCAGCATCAGCGCCGCGTGGTAGGGCGCCGGTGCAGGCGCAGACGGGAACAACAGTACGCCGCGCTCACCCAGACGGGCCTGTGGATATATAATAAATAAATAAATAAATAAATAAATAAAAGGAACGGGGTGCGGGGCGGGGGGTGGGGGGGAGGGGGTCAGCAAGTAAAACATTAAAAAAAAACTGTGTACTTACCACTAAGTCTTCGGAGAGCTCTTTCGTGAGTTTCTCTGCCCATTGAGCATTGACCGGAGGCATTACTTGTTCATCGAACAATTTCATGATTGCTGGCATCGTGTACTGCGATAGGCCTAGTATCTGGTGGAAAGAACATTTGCTTCAGTACAGCGGAGTGTGCCAAAAACGGCACTGAACATTTACCCTACGTGTGCTGCCACTGGTAACCGCGACGATGATGGCATCGTCGTGGTATAAAAGAAGGGGCGTATTCACGTGTCAACGTTTCTTTTTTTTATTTCAGGCCCATATTATAAATACCTTATAGACTAACATACATACAAATTCATATTATAAAACTTATATATCGAAATTGTCTGTATGGTCACGGCACTGAGGACGGCAATCTGCCACGGTAGCGCCGACACACCATATTGACTCCTATTGACTCTAGGAACCATTGCGGCATTGGCGACTGCACTCACTGGGCCCAACTTTCTGCTGCGTGCTGCTACACTGACGTTGACAATGTACCTGTCCCGTCTACATTACGCTACTAAGGAGCAGGACATTGTTGATTATATGCGGACCAAGAATAACTTGACATTGAGGTGACGCAGCTGGAGTCGAGCCACAACGCGAGTTTCAAGGCGTTTGTGGCCCGGGTGCAACATGCTGCATACCTTCACAAAGGAGGACTGGCCGAAGGGTGTGGTGTATCGGCGCTACCGTGGCAGATTGCTGTCGTCAGTGCCGTGACCACAGACAATTTCGATATATAAGTTTCATAATATTAATTGAAACGTATGGTAGTCTATAAGGTAGTTATAGTATGGCCCTAGTAGCCTCAAATAAATAAAAAAATAAGAAACATTGACACTGAGTCAGTTTGTTTGATTCCTACCATCCATATTGTGTAATAGCAACCGTATTACATGTCTGCGACTGTTAAATATACACTTTTATGGTATTCTTTCTACTAAATATTTCTATCTGTGCAATAAAGAAAAGAATATATTGTATTATATTATCTTATACATCAAATTTTCGTGTCAATGTTAGTTACTATACTCCTCCATATGACGTGAATGATTTTTATCAAATTCTGTATGCATATTCAGGTCTTATTAATTGTTTAAGCAGAATATTTTTTCTATTTAATTTTTCATTGGTGGTTTGTATTCACACACTTAAACTTAAAAATGTGATAAGGATTGTCCACCTCTAAAATGTAATGACATGTAAGTTTATTTGAAAAATGACATTCAATTCCCCTAAGTGATAAATGTAAAATGACATTAAAAATACATTCAACCCTAAATGTTGACCCATCTACCATCAACCCTTATTTTTAATACCGATTTTAATTTATATGGCAAAGCAACGTTTGCGGGTTCAGCTAGTAGTTACATGTAAAATTAGTGATGCATTTACCTTCTTGGGTAATTCCACAAGTGCTTTCGCCTCTCCGCGGTTGTTGGTCAGCACTTTGGGGAACTTCTCTGTCTCCCTGGTCATCCAGTAGCGCCACAGTACGAACATATGGTTGAATCCCTCGTGGTAGTAAGGCTTCGGCGCTTTGTCGGTAGATGGCGTTAGTTCTGTTAGTTTACTAATAACTCTGAAAAATAAGTGTTACAATGTTAGATCTTTCGTTGTCTAGCGGTTTAGCACACCCGTTTATTTCCGATGATCGTGGGTTCGATTCCTCGCACGGTGCGAACATTTGTATTCATGAGCATGATTGTTTGTTTCGATCTGTGTATTTTCTATGTATTTACAAACAATATCTAAATATTTATTTCAGTTGTCTAGTACCCATTCCAGACAATATTGTCAGCTCTATGAATTTTAAGTTTTTTCTTCAAAAACATTATTATCATTTACAAACTCTTCAATTTTATAATAAGCTTTATTAGTATAATTACTAACTCTTTTGAAACTGTTTTAATATTTTTTAAGGAGTCAAATAGTTCACAAATACTAAAATAGTGGTTTTATTGTTACCTATAATGAGCCATTACGCCCATAAATAAAAATCACAAAACAACAGACAATTTCACTAACCTGTTCATGGCCTGCCGAAGGTCTGAGCAGATGGGGCTCACGCGGAGGTCCTGAGCGGTCTCCACATAATAGTAATCGATTGTCTGTAACAAGACATATTAAATTATTAGCTACGCTACTTTGAACCCATACTTTTTTGTATCGTACGCCTAGTACAATAACGGATTAATTACAAAATTACAAACTTTGTAAATTCCATTGTAAGGTATTAACTTTAAAGTCTAATTTCACACATTTGTTTTTTTCCCCATCCTTTCTTCCCGGATGTCAATTTCCAGGCTTTTTACTTTTTTAGGGACTATTCTAATATATATACAATAATTCCCTAATTCAGTATTGTCTGTTTTACTTTAGAAAGAAAAATATTATTCATTGGGTACTAGCTACTCGCCCCGGCTTCGCACGGGTGTACATGTATTATATATGTATATAAACCTTCCTCTAGAATTACTCTATCTATTTAAAAAACTGCTTCAAACCCGTTGTGTAGTTTTAATGATTTAAGCATACATAGGGACAGACAGCGATACTGACTTTATTTTATACTAGGCAATGATTCTACATTTACATATGTTTCCCGACCTTTTTGGAGCGTGTTGTTTATGAGTATTTGTATGACATAGCCACATAATCTATCGTATCAAATCTGACATTAAATTGAGAAATAGTTTTTGACAATACAACCTCAATAGTGTTCAAAAAGTGGCTACTAATTGTAAATTGACGATAGGACTGACGTATCAAAAATGCACAAAAGTCCTTAAATCAATGAAGAAAAGACAATTATAGACACTTACTTTGGGATCTACGCGTGCATTGAGGGTCAACAGTGGTGCTTTGTCTCCAGCCACGACGGCAGTCAGCGGCGCGAGGTCGCTGCAGTGGCGGCTCACGAACCCCACCGCCGCCATCGTCGGCTCCTCGCCCGTCCGGAGCGACAGGCCTGCGCGGTACACAGACGAGAGGGATAATCAAATCAAATCAAAAGACACCAATCGCTGCTATCGTCGGCTCCTCGCCCGTCCGGAGCGACAGGCCTGCGCGGTACACAGACGAGAGGGATAATCAAATCAAATCAAAACACGCTGCCATCATCGCCTCCGCGATCGACCAGTGCGACAGCCCGGCTTGGAAACAGAGAGGAGGGATTATCAAATCAAATCAAAAAAATCCCATCGCCGCCATCGTCGGCTCCTCGCCCGTCAGTACATAGAGGAGACATAATCAAATCAAATCAAAAGACACCAACCGCTGATATCATTGGCTCTAAATCAATCAAATCAAATCAAAAGAATCCTGCCGTTGCCATTGTCGGCTCCTTGTCCGTCCCGAGCGATAGGCCTGCACGATACACAGAGAGGAGGGATAATCAAATCAAATCAAATTAAATCAAAAGAAACCACGGCTACCACGGCTCGGCAGCCACTAAGGCTTTTATTCCCTCTTAAAAGGCCGCACTTGCATTCCCCTGGTGTTGCAAGCAAGTTTATTCCTTGCTATGCTATAAAAAAAACAATGATGCTGAACAGTCATATCAGTACCTATAATCTTTCTAAGACAATTAATGAAACGCTTACCTCTCAAATTGGTGTATCCAGCAGTTGGATTCAGCGCGAACAGGCCGCAAAAGAAGGCGGGCATGCGCGTTGAACCACCGATGTCAGAACCTACAAAATAATGAATCGTGTTTATATTTAGGCATGGATCTAGATGATGATAGCATTGGGTGTATGTGTGACTGTGTGTGGTTGTGTGTGTGGGTGGGTGTGGATGTTTGTGCTTGTGTGTTCATAATTTCAAACCATTTCGGAATCTGTTCAATTACACACAAAATTTTTGTCCGGTCGGCCCAACCGTTTAGGGGGAGTTAGGAGACAAATACACATAGAAAAATTATTTATATTAAGATTTTGTCGAGACAAGCCATCCTTAGAATATTACGCAAGAAGTACTCACACAATGATATAGGCGACGCGTAGGCAGCACATAGGGCGCCCTCGCCACCGCTGGAGCCCCCAGTGCTGCGGCCCGAGTGGTACGGGTTGCACGTTGTCCCGAATAGTAGGTTGCGACACTCCTGCCTGCAACCCACCGACAATACAATTTAATAGTGAGGTAAGACTTGTGGCAGACTAAAAGCGTTCCGCTTATAAAAATATTTATTTTGCGCCAACGCAAGAGATTTCTATGCTCTCGCGCATACACATACTTGTTAACAATTTATTTTTATTTTTTTTATAACACAGGGGACAAACGAGCATGCGGCTCACCTGATGGTAAGTGATTACCGCCGCCCATGAGCACCCAAAACACCAGGGGAGATACAAGTGCGTTGTCGGCCTTTTAAAAAGAAATAAGCTCTTTTCTTGTACGTTTCTATATCGTATCGGTGCGGAAATACTATTGCTGGAGAGTGATTCCACAATGTGGTTGTGCGTGGCAAAAAGTTTCTAGAAAACCGCACTGTGGAGGACCGCCATTCAACCAGATGATCAAGATGGTATTTTAGTTTCTGGCGGGTGGTACGGTGGTGGTAAAATCATATTAAGGCCCTCGGTAGAGATTTTTTTTTTTTTTTATACTACTATGGTGGTATATATAGATAAAATGCACACTCATGCTATGGTCACGAGTTCGATTCTTGACACGGCAACCACCCAGATCGATACAAATAATCGTACTCACGAATACAAATATTTGTGCCGCCCGAGGAATCGAACCCGCGACCATCGCGAAGCTGTGTATTAAACCTCTAGACCGTCGTGGCTTTCACCTACCATTTGTTGACCTCCGGCACGTTGGTGACTGCGAGCGGTATCGCACCAGCGGCCCGCATCAGACGAACAGACTCGGCGTCCTCCGCGGCTCGAATGTGACGTCGGGACAGGAGGCCTAGTGTATTCAACACGCCCGCTATTGCATTACTCTCCTTCGTAGTGAACGGCACCCCTGCAGATATATCGAATCGATTAGATATTGTCCCAGAGGGAGACTAAAAAGTAGGGGGGTGGGATTATATACTGTGGGCTGATGACTCCATTGCGAGCAATGTACTATGTCAGGTAAATTACTCTCCTTCGTAGTGAACGGCACCCCTGCAGATATATCGAATCGATTAGATATTGTCCCAGAGGGAGACTAAAAAGTAGGGGATGGGATTGTTAGTACTGTGGGCTGATGACTCCATTGCGAGCAATGTACTATGTCAGGTAAATTACTCTCCTTCGTAGTGAACGGCACCCCTGCAGATATATTGAAACGATTATATATTGTCCCAGAGGGAGACTAAAAAGTAGGGGGTGGGATTGTTAGTACTGTGGGCTGATGACTCCATTGCGAGCAATGTACTATGTCAGGTAAATTACTCTCCTTCGTAGTGAACGGCACCCCTGCAGATATATTGAAACGATTATATATTGTCCCAGAGGGAGACTAAAAAGTAGGGGGATGGGATTGTTAGTAATGGAGGCTGATGACTCCATTGCGAGCAATGTACTATGTCAGGTAAATTACTCTCCTTCGTAGTGAACGGCACCCCTGCAGATATATTGAATCGATTAGATATTGTCCCAGAGGGAGACTAAAAAGTAGCCCCCCTACTTTTTAGTCTTTTTACTCTCCTTCGTAGTAAATAAATAGATAAATTGTATCGATTAGATTAGATTAGTTGAGGGAAGGGGATTGTTAGTAATGGGGCTGATGACCCAATTGCTAGCAATGTACCATGTCAGGTTATATTTGTCTTTAGAGTAGTTCAGACGTTATATAAATATAAATTATGTAATTAATTTAGAATCTAAGACGAAGCGAACATGATCACTACTGTGATCATAAGATCCTAAATAAATAAAGAGAAAAAGGAAAGGTCAAACTATGACCTCCATGCGGTTCCCCCTGGAAACCATCGTGATAAATTCCTGTTGAATTTGCCATGATGGTCCAACTGATCTGAACTCATCTTCATCTTATCATTTTCCTGCCTCCTCATATTCATCATATAACCATCCTGGTGCCCAACCATTGCGATCCATCTGTCCAGATGCAAGGTTTCTCAAGAAAATGTTTGATACCATACATACCAAGGAAGGGTCTCTCTACAAAATATGCGTCGGGTAATCCTTCAGCGATGTTCTTGTCTACATTCCGGGCGTCTTTCAAAGCTTCCTCGAACCTTTCATCCGTTACTGCATTTAAAATTTTATAGAATAGAATAGAATAGAAAATCATTTATTCAAATAAACTTACATTGAAGCACTTTTGAATAGTCATTACATTTTTTTTAATCTACCGCTCGTTCGGAAAGCTGTCTCATCACAAGAAGAACGAGCAAGAAACTTGCGTGTTGCTCTTTTTAATAATTTTATTATTACTTTACATTTTAAGTTTAAGTGTGTGAATACAAACCACCAATTAGCACTAATTCAATTAAATATTCAAAAAGAAAAAATATTGAATACATAACCAACTGGTTAAACACAGACTAAGACGAAATCAGTCATAGTGATTAGAGCAGACCAGTCCCTACAACAACCCGTTCACGAATGATGATGCGCTCGACCATAAAGAGCCCAATGACCGGCCCACCACGCCGCCACAAGTCTGGATTATATTGTTGAGTGCAAAGATGGTTCGCTCATCCGTCATACTCGTGAACGAGTGAAAGTAAGGACTGATCTGCTCTAATCACGACTGATTTACTCTTATTTAGTTACTCAACCAGATGTTTGTCTAATTATTAATTTGACTCTAATAAAATAGTACTAGTTGGTAATTTGTATTCACACATTTCTTTAAAATGTAAAGTTACAACTAAATGATTTAAAAGAGCAATACGCAAGGTCCTTGTTCGTTCTTCTTGTGATGGGACAGTTTCCCAATGGGCGGTAAATTAAAAAAATAAGTAATGTCTATTTAAAAGTGCTTAAATGTAAGTTTATTTGAATAAAGAATTTTCTATTATATTCTATTCATCGGTAAATTACAAAGTAAGGGGTTGGGCCGATGATGACAGGTTGCATGATAAAAAAAAAACACGCACTCACCAATTTAATCCTCTCAATACATGCTTGCACCAGATTTTCTGAGGTCAACTCTTTGTTCCGTATCCTCGCTGCCAGGGTCACAGCACTCTCGGCGAGCATCCTATGCCTCGCCAGGAGATCCGGGATGGGTTGCCGCTTGCTCTCCCAGTAGAACCCGAATATGAAGTCGATGAACATGTCTAGACATCGCCGGAAGGCTAGGAAAGCCTGGATAAGCATTGTTGACGCCATCCCTTGGAATATCTTGTTGGCCTTATGGTTGCGGTGTACCTGATGAATTAAGAATGTTCCAGAATGTAACTGATTTTCAAAACAATTAAGTGAATTATTTATAGTATACTTTTTCTTTTCTAGTTTCATATTACGATATTTACATCCGTTTCCGTAAGGTTGCGTTGTATAGATTGATTTCAACAATAAAAATGCCTTATGGTAATTATACGTGTCCTTGAATATATAATTTATATATTTACTGTATGTGACAAATCTTCTTCCAATCTTATTTCTTAATAATATTATAAACGCGAAAGTTTGTGAATATGGATGAATGTTTGTTACTCTTTCACGCAAAAACTACTGAACAGATTTTGATGACACTTTACAATAATATAAATTATACATCAGAATAATACATAGGCTATAATTTAAAAAATTACATCGTCAACATGAACAAATGTAATTAGAAATAGAAATAACTTTATTCAAATAAACTCAATACAGGCACATTTGAAGAGTCATGTTTTTTTTATTTTACCACTCATTCAGAACGCACACTCATCACAAGAGTCTCTAACAAGAAGTCTCACTCTCATCAAGAAGAGTAGGAAACTTACATGATGCTCTTTTAAAGAAACGTTCAGTATTAAATATTAAAAAAAATGTTGTACAAACTACCAATTAGCAAAGTTGATGATATCTCTTGATTTGGGTAATAGACAATAATAAATATACATATTTAGGTGGTTAACCTATACCCGCGGTTTAACCCGCGTGAAATTTATATGTTCTGATGTATAAGCTATATTACTGTAGTAAGTTTCATGAAAAGGCGTTCAGTAGTTTTTGGGTGAAAGAGTAACAGACATCCATCCATACTCACAAACTTTCGCGTTTATAATATCAATAATAATACAATATATAAGTTGTGTACTTACACAGCGGAAAATAGTGAATGAACGTTCTAAATTGACTATTTAATATATATCACTGATATTGGACAATCATTTAAAATAATCACAATTTACGTAAGTCATGCACCGATGTTGTATTATGAACTTCATGATATAGGTACACATAATGAACCGGCGGCCGGTCGTTGTGTCTACGAGACGCGGTTTCAAAGTTCATTACATATATTAGGGGCCATCATAAATTATGTCATTCATTGGGGGGGGTTCAGGAAGGGGGGGGGGGGGGGTGAGGCTCTCCCCAACTGACTGTGGGTTTGACTAGACGGGACAAAATCTGATATATACAAGTACTAGCTTTTACCCGCGGCTTCGCTCGCATAACTTCATTACTGGCTGCTAGATGGCGCTGAAGTAGCAAAATGTTGATATTCTATTTTTTGTTATGTATTCAATTTATTTGTTTTTTTTTTTTTTAAATAAAAAGTGTCTTATGTTCATTGTAATACCTCCAAGAACATGTGTACAAAATTTCATGATGATCGGTTCAGTAGTTTTTGCGTGAAAGCGTAACAAACATCTCTGCTTCACATTTATAATATGACTCTATGTTGTTGTTGTTTGTCAGTATGTATGTCATTAATGATAATAGAGGTGTACGTCATAAAATATATTAATATTTCTTTATTACTCAATTTTATTTTGGTTATAAATTGATAAGTTTCCTTATAGCCCAAGAGCCCACGACGCCGCGACGCCGCGACGCCGCGACGGCCAGACATACGTCTTATTAGTAAATGTGAAACTTCTTGCATTGAAAAAGTCTCGTAGGTAGGACGATAGAACCAAAAATACAGTCTAGCATTTAAGGACAAACAGTTTAATAGTTCTCTGAATAATATATATATATTTTTGTTCTCTTTTATCTATCTGCGATCAGCCAATTAGCTTTTATGAGATTTTATAGCTTTCGTTATCTGTCGTTTTGAGTTACCACATCCAATAATGTGGTCCTCTTTTTATATACATCTGCTGTTTTAAATCGTAGCCAGACGTGACCTTTTCAGCCTGCATACGTAATTCCTTGGTAAGTTGGTATGGTGTTGAAGTCTTTGCCGGTAAGCCTTACGTAAGGTAAGTAGCGTTTTATCTCTTCGTGCACCGTTGGGATCTCTGTGTAGTCATGCACCTCCCGGTTTTTTACATACCAAGGTGCATTGGTTATGGTCTTTAACACTTTACTTTGGTAACGCTGAATTATTTCGATATTGGAATGACTTGCCGATCCCCATAGCTCTATACCATATGTCCATATAGGCCTTAAGATGGATTTGAATATAAGAACCTTATTTTCCAGGCTTAGAGCTGATTGTCTGTATTACCAGTGTATGTCTCTAAGTTTTATATTTGCCTGTTCTCTTTTGGCCTTAATATGATCACGCCAAGTAAGTCGTCTATCGAGATGCATACCCAAATATTTAACGGTATTGAATAATATATATAAACTTCAGCTTTCATAAAATAATGTAAATATATTTATAAAATAATACAGTTTAGGGGTGTCTGGTAGGGGATGGAACCATACTAAGTGTCTGGCAATGAGCAGCGCAAGTTATAATACTGCTACGAACAATATATGAAAAAATTGAGTTTCATAAATTAACGAATTTGATATAAAATTGTATACGCCGTTGTTACCTGTTACCTGCCAATGTAACCACGATCCAGGTTTCATGTGTGGGGATCGTTCTTACCTGTGTTGGGGACACACATACAAGAACTTTCATATTTACTAATAAGACGTATGTCTGGCCGTCGTGGGCTCTTGCTCTATTATGATTCATCGGATTAGAACTGTATTTATAATATCAATAAAAGATATGATTACTAGAGATTAATATCTATGTATAATACTGGTTGCCCAGTAGCCGAAGTCGCGACAATACAAAAAGATTTTTGAACCAGCAGTAATATGTATAAAACTCATGTATTTATATTGTTGATAATTAACTTTTAAATTTTTTTTTGTGTGTAATATTTTTTTTTTCCCCTCAAGGGGGGAATATTTATGGGACACAGTTACCTAGATACATCAAAATAATAATTGCATTTAATAATGTCTAGTAAAACAAATTCAATATTGTCTACTAGGCACTGCTGTGTCTAAACTGTGTCACCCCACCTTACATTTTCCTATTGTTATTTAGTATATAAGATCATTATTTCTATGTACATATTGTCAGTTTATTACCATCTATAATATACATTGTCTTGACCAACAACATTGTATCTTTCACCCACAACAATACATATAAACTTTCCTCTTGACTCACTCTATCTATTACTGAAACTACATTAAAATCTGTTGCGTAAGTTAAGAGATAGAAGGGTAGAGACAGCGGCTGTGACTTAATTTTTTTAATTTAAAACATCTGATTAGACAAGAACAAATATTTACATTAATTGAAAGGATCTGAGTATATACACAAGTTACACATTACTTAGTTACACAACTAATTTTAATTTTAAATATCATATCTTATTAATATTATAAATGCGGAAGTTTGTGAGTATGGATGGATGTTTGTTACACTTTCATGCCAAAATTACTGAACAGATTTTGATGAAACTTTACAGTAATATAGCTTATACTTCATTATAGCATATAGGCTATAAATATCACGTGGTTGAAACTGCGGGCACACCTACTTATATAATATGTTCAGAAATGCTGAGTAATTCCAAAATTTGTTATGCACCCATTAAGCCAGTACAGGTTACTAGTTTAAAAATATAATAAACTTACCTGAGATGTATCCCGTTTGGGTGTATTTGTACACATGTGTGTGACCTTTCTGTAAACTGAGAAAAAAATATAAATTAACTACTAAATTTCTCTTAAGGAAAAGTCTAAATTATTCATATTGGTTGCTTTCTACCTCTTATGCATGTCATAAGCTGCTGCATGCACTGTGTAACACAATAATAAAAGGTCTGCCAACAGTCTGATATTTATAGCCTGTGTTATTTTGTGATGTATTAACATTAGTAACATTATTTTAAAGTTACGTCCGATGGTTGCGGGTTCAATTGGATTCATGGGACATACATTTATTTATATTCATGAGTATGATTATTTGTATCGGCCTGGGTGTTTTCTATGTTATATTATGTATGATGGGGGGGGGGGGGGGGGGCATGACCCCCCCCCCCCCCCCCTTACTATTCACACAAATTCTGCTTGGCCTGTGACTAGATGGTACTGTGTGAATTGTCCAGGGATATTAAGTTATTAGACACACTGCGGCCATTACTAATAATCTCTTCCACCGGTTTCCAACTAGAGGATGTGATGTCCATGGTGATATTCATTTATGTAGATGACTATTACCCTTTTGCCATTCAGAAGACGATCAGCTTGTTTGCCATTCTGGTTACATAAAATAAACATAAACGAGTTATATCAACGGATACCGGCGTATGAAAATTGTTGTGTACTATTGCAGTTTTTATTTTTATTTTGCATCTACAAAATATATTTTTTTTATGATTACTTAACTTTTTATTTATTAGATACTCAGTTCTGAGTATCTAATAAAGTAATCTGTATGGGACATTCTCTACGAAGTACTGGTAATTGTTACGTATTTGTTTGTTTACTGGAGAAACTCAGAAACTACTTACGCAAGTTGTAATGTAATATGTATTTATTTTACAGGTTAACAAATAGCTTGTATCACACTTAGTTTATTTTCATTAAACTAGCACTAAATGTTTAGCCAGATAAATTAGGCAAGAAATAGAGATAATTTTTTATTAAGTGTATTTCAGATTGTTTTTAAAACTTTAAAAAGTTTAGAACTTGCTATTGGAAATTGAGTGAGACAACATCATCAAACATGTTTTGACAGTGTGATTGACGGTCTGACCCGTCTGACGGAACAGAATTGAGCGGATACTGATGGTGATTAATGGTTTTTTTTTCTGCCTTTAGGAAAGGCAAAGGAAAATAAATATAGATGTTTAGTGCTCTTCATTCTTTGACAAAATACTGAAATTTTTGAATGAATGATTTGACGTTGACGAGTATGTATTAGATGTGAATATTTGAGAGTACAATGATTACATACTCAGTGATTTGAGATATAAGAACTTTGTGGGCGAGGACCTTACGATTTATTTACCACGGACCATAAGTAGGGAAAATAAAATTATTTGTAGTTTTATTTTTTGCATAGGGGGCAAATGTGATTACCGCTGCCCATGAGCACCTTGCCGGATTTGCCAGCCTTCTAATAAGGCAGGGGCGGATATACCTAAGAGCTTTTTTGGTCTGCAGCCCATGGTTCCGAGGATATAAAGGGCCCCAGTCCCTACTGAAACGATATTTAGAATATAAAAAAATATCTAGAATGTTAAAAAACCTATCATATGGTTGGCAATCCTGAGATCAATCAACCCATGCAAGTCTATCGAAAGAAACGGGGAATTTCTGATAGTTTGTTTTTGGTCGGTGTTAGTTAGTTTTTTTAGTTGAGTAATATAATTAGGTAGACCTCTAAGTAGATTTAGCCCAGCCCACATATTCACGATCCGCCCCTGTAAGAAGGTGTGGATAATGGAAGAAATTAAGAAATGTATAGGGGGGAAGAACTAGATATGCAGGACCTCTACTCATCATACGAAACGCGATAATAAAAATAATAAACTTGAATAATATGTACCTATATAATAAAATGTTTTACGATTGCTAAATAAACATGCGATCTATGTGATGGCTCGAGCAAACAGAGAAAGCTGCCTTCTATATTCAATTCTACATATACCTAATATTATTACTTATACAGGGTTGCTAACCTTAATAATTTTATCCTACAAAGGAGATCAAAAACAGTATAGTAGTTTACTCTTTGTTTCCGATGTTGTAGTGCAATGTCACGTACGTTATCAGTTAGCCCATCGTGACATTTTCACCAAGATTTGGTGAACATGACATGGTACATTGCTGCCATAAGATTATCACTCCACATTACTAACAACCCCCTTTCCCCCGTCATGATCATTGTCATACAAAATTCAATAACAAAATAATACATATTTGTTGTTGCAGGTTTATTTGTGAATTTTTGTAGGTTAACATCTTGTTCAAAAATACGAGTACCAAGATATTTCTGTACTTTGTACCAAAGAACAAAAATCTCATAATTATACGTAGAGCCTTGTTTGCCACCCCTGAATTTATATGCTATTAGGCACTAAAATGGTGGGAAACATAATGCAGGTTGCTTCACTGCGCAGTGTTGGTTAATGAACCTAAAACCACAACCTATAAGGTATACAATGTACATATAGCTTATGCAATTACGAGTAAGCGATGTAGGAAATAACAACAAGAATTTATAGGCGAGACAGAATAACACTAGCATTTAGCTACCACACGCGTTTCGCGCGTTTTATTATATTTTTTTAAATATTCACAAACTTTAAATTTGGAATGCGTTAAATTGTAATGTTATAAAAAGTTTTTATTGAATTATATTTGAACAAAACTCGAACTCTTTACGCAATTAAAGATATTAATTAGTTTTAATAAGATTGTGAATTACATTTGATTAATCACTTAAGTAAGTGCTTATATGGAGTAATAACGTAGAGTAATTAAGTGTTTATTGGTAAGTGTTAATTAGTTTTTAGTAGAAATGGTAATTATGTTTTTATTAATTATTATTTTTTATTTTTATTATTTAACTATTATTATCGTTTATTTAATTTTTTCCTTGGTAAGTTCAAGAGTACTGCTTGTAGGGACTAGTCTGCTCTAATCACTACGACTAATTAACTCTCATTTAGTTACTCAACCAGTAGGTTGTATATTTATTATTTGGACAATGAATTAGAGCTACTTGGTAGTTTGTATTCACAAGTTTCAACCTAAAAATGTGAAGTTACAACTAAAATATTTAAAAGAGCAATATGAAAGTTTTTTACTCGTTCATCTCATAATGAAACAGCTTTTCGAGTGAGCGGTAGACAAAAGTAATGACTTTTCAAAAGTGCTTCAATGAAAGTTTATTTGAATAAAGAATTTTCTATTCTATTCTATTATTGCATGAATGTGTCGCTGCACGTATTCTCACCACCCTCGGGATGCTACTGAAAATCTGTATTTTCTTCTTTGAGTAAATGATTGCTACGTAGCCCAGCAACCCTAGTTAATCCAGTAACCCTAGTTAACCCAGTAACCCTTTCATATACCTGTGGCAACAAATATTTTTCATGTGTATTTTTATGTTTTACGTGAATAAATGTATTGTTTTTTTATATATACATTTAACTACCTACCCGCCCCGTATGGGTGTACATCTATTTTACATACTATATATTGCTAGAACCTACATCAAAATCCGTTGCGTAGTTTAAAAGATCTAAGCAAACAGACAGCGGAAGCAACTTCATTTTATACTATGTAAAGATATTCTTACACTTCTATATTTGTTTGTATCGTTAATGTTGTTTGTAATATTTTAAATATGAAAGAAAAATTTACGGACTTTTTTTGATTTTTTTTATTAGATATATAAAGTAATTATGTATATATGTAATAAATATGTTTCATATAAATATCTTTAATAGGTGTATTCGCTTAGGTAATCTTTAAGTCTTATAATTTACCGAGATCACAACCGAGGCAGACTTGCCAATTGTCGTTTTTTTTCGGATTACGGATTCGGATGTGGGCTCAGCTGGCCTTAACAGCTTCACCGGACGATAGGGGGCGAGTGTACCCGCGGAAGGACTTATGGAACGTCTGATGCGGCTGTTTCAGTTGAAGATTGAGTTAAAGCTGAACAATTACAGGATTGACCTGCAAAACGTTGTTTTCCCATATAAAGAGTGAAAATTTAGGAGTGTACGTATTTTTCCATATACACATTATAAAAAATAAAAACCTGTATAAATTTTAGATAACAAAATAGTCTCCGACCAACCAATATACATATAAAATTTAATAAAAATCGGTTTAGCCGTTTTGGGGATTCTCGAAAAATTCTCGTGTCACAGCGTTAGTTGCCATACGCAATTTTTTTTGTGACACTACAATTGTGTATGTATAGTAGGTATAAATAGAATTTCACATCCTAGCTAGACTACACTACATAACTCATAGTATGTACTTATGTAGTTTTCGTCCAACAACCAGTTTTGAGGTAACTTGTTCTTATGGTCAGCAATTACGTGATAATTATACTCATGCAATCTTATTACAGTAGACCATAAGGTGCAAAATTGAATATATGCGTTTATTTCGGTTAACTCTTCGCGGTAACTACATTATAGTCTTGCGTGTAATAGTTCTCGACTCGGAGAGTTCTATTTAGTTCGTCCGCTCCCAACTCCCAACTCGAGGCAGAGAAAATCAACAGGCGAGCTAGCTTGCTGACCTTGACGCCTATAACTATAAGTATTTTCGTTTTTTTATTAACCGTTTTTTAATTTTAGGTTCTTAGTTGTACAATTAAATTATATATTATATATATATTTGTAATTTGTGAAGTTGTGTAAATATATTTATTGATTTGTTTGTATTGCAAATATTTTAGTCATAAGTAACAGAATATTCTCATATTTAATATTCTAATATAGGTATTACGTTTTTAGGCCGCAAATGTGGAATAATTTTTTAGCTTGTAAAGATGTATTATTGTTTTTTATAACACGACCCTGTTAATATTTGCTGTGTTTTATTTATTTTATTGTGTACCATATGCTAAATCAAAGAGTTTGACTTTTAAAAATTGTTGAGATTACAATTCAATGCTTTATGTTATTTATGAAAAAATATATAGAAAATGGTTTCAAACGTACTTTACTATAGAGGTCATGTTAAAAAAAGCTTATTTGCTAAAATAGCTTTATTTTATTTTAACAAACGAACTTAAGAGAGGAACATCTGTGAAGCAGTTTTAGTAGTTTGTTTTGGGAGCGGTCTTGTCAATTAGTAGGTTTGAGCGATCTTTTAAACTAGTTCATTCGCGAACTACACAAGACTGGTTACATTAATACTATGGGAGGACAATTTGTTGTTATGTATGTATGTATGAATTAGTAGGTTTGAGCGGTCTTTTGAACTAGTTCGTTCGCGAACTACACAAGACTGGCGACTGACGTTATTACTATGCGAGGATAACTTGTTGTGATGTATGTACTTGATGCCTTGAACTTTGACGTTTCCGTGTAGCATAGTGACACTTGCGTTGCGTTACTACAATACTTTTTAAACCTACCACTGGCTATTACTTGAGACTTTGTTCGCTTTTTTTGCAATTGAAGCCAATTACGAGAAGAATAAAGAAAGTAAGGAATATACCTACATAAATAACTGTCTTATTCCTGTAGGTGTATTCCTCAGTTTTTTTTTCTTTGTTTTTTTATTACACTTTATACCCTAATTATTACATTATAATAAATATTACACTAAAAAAGCGACTATTAATACTTTTTTTATTTGTAGTGATATTACTACAAATAAAAAAAACTATTATTAATCTGGACAGCAGGGTCTGGGGGGAGGACGTGTGTAGCACGAAAATATATAAGTATTTTATTCTTCTTATTAATGACAATAGAATGGTGTAACAACCTTCGCTAACGGTTTACACTGGCAGGGAACCAGTGGAGGATGATATGTGTGTGACCAGGCCGGTTAGCACACCGTGGTAAATTTACCATGAATTTATCACGATGGTTTCCAGGGGGAACTACGTTCACCTAATATAGTACATTGCTAGTAATGTGGTGGTTGGCGACCGACCGCCGAACTCCTTTATTATTTTTAAATTTATACTAGCTGTCCCGGCAAACGTTGTTTGCCTTAAAATAAAACAAAATTAGGGGTGGACTACCCCTAACATTTAG